AACAAGGCTTTTCCACTCTAATGAACATAAAAACGAAAAACAGAAATCGATTAAACGCCGAAGACTGTATTCAAATTGCTGTTACGTCAAAAAGTCCCAATTTTAAAGTAATTATTCAAACATGAATTTTATTTTGTTTGTCTATTACTATTTCTTACTATTTTCATGTAACTTTTTTTTTTATAAATATGTAAATGCAAATTAATTCAATAAATAATGTTTAATTTAAAATTTACATTGATTGTTTTCTATTCAGAATGGGGGGGGGGTAATATCAACTTACGCAATAATATTTTGGGGTTATGGTTAAAAAAGTTCCCCGACCGCTGCTCTATAGTATCAAGATGATGATGTCTCTAAGTTATGAGTTTGCTAGCGTCACAGAAGTTTTTAATGTGAGTCGGAGGAGTATAGCAGTAGAAGTAATAGGAAGAAAGGACCAGATTATCCGTACAAAAAAAACACTACTCCGCCTTGAGACACAGCTGAAGACGGCTATTATGAACACCAGAGAAAATTGCAATGTAGATGAATAAAACCCTCGATCTGGAGTTATATTCGTGGAAATGTTTTCACCAAAATACTTTCAATATATAGGAAAGATTAGACAATTTGAGAAACACGTTACGCACAGATTGTATCAATGATATAACAAACATCGGTGATCAAATTAATATTTGGGTGAAATAAATTGATGATATTAATTCACTTTTGGATGAATTGGCAGATCTTTTGGCGTTCGTCAAGGATAGGCTTTGCCTGGAAGAGGATTTCAAGGTGTTTAATCGAATTATGGCATTACAAGATACACTTTTTATAAATAAATTCAACGTGGTGCTCAAATCTATATAAATATTCATTATTAATGTTAAAACAGTGTAAAATCAACAGAAGGACGTAATTGGAGTGGATATATCTCTTTAAATATATTTTATTTCGAATTTGTACATAAATGTTGATCAACATCGAAAGGGCGTATACATAGGCAAATTCTTGTGCGTCATCTTTCGAGAAAATTATATATTAATGTATCCTACGGATGTTTCTAAACTTTTTTTTATGTTGTATATTTGTATTGAGAATATGTTCATCAATGTAAACATTGAGTAAATTTAAGATCGCGATTGACATTAAATAGATAATCTTTCCCGGTGGATCCTTAACACGGTCATTATCCATCGAATTGGCTGAAAGTCCATATGCTGAACCTCATTCATTTCACTGTCTATCTGTGATGAACGACGGCCCTATTGCTGCAAGCATCGAGCGGGCTCACAAAGGGCCTGGCTTGACCAGGATTCGAACCGGCGCTCACGAAATCGTGGGTAGGGCAACTTAACCATTCGGCTATTAGTCGCCCGTTTCTAATCTTAAATAGATTTTGCATTTTTGAAATAAGTTCTTTATAGGAAGCTACAGAATGCGAGTGTCCCCCTCCCCATGTTTATTAATTGTTTAATGGGCATATAAAACGTAGTAGTATACAGAGCGATTATTAAGTTCATCAAGTCAGCCAACATAGAGATATAGACCTAACACCTTCCAGAGAAATATAATCAATGTCCTCCCGAGGTTTCTCCTATAACCCGTGTGCTGAACCGCCGGAGCTTTGGTTGAAAATTGTTACCTTTTGTTACGCGCCACTTGTTGATCACTTTCTCTCCAATTCTATCTAGTAACATAAGCTAGCCGCAACAATTAACTTTAGTAGAGCATTATAATAACAAAACAGTGGCTGGCGAAATTGCGCTTAGGCAAAAGCTAAATGAAGTTGGAAGGCGTGAAAAAAAAAGAAGATATAAGTTCTTATTTAACCACATACTTTTTTCCGTTGAAAAATAGGTTTATTTTGAAATATTATTTATTTGATTAATGAAACAAATGAAATTAAAAATTATTATTATCTTAAAAAAATATGAATATAAAGGACAAATAATAATTGCAAAAATGAATTATTTATAATTAATTTTCCCTTTTCCACTAGCAAAGACCAATGTACTTCTATTTGGAAAACAAAATACAAATTTAGTCCCACATGGGCTTATTAATACAAATGTTCATCATTGACTCACGTAAAATTATCCTGAAATCATAGTTTTGTTGTTTATTGAGTTGTGACCGCTTTAGTACTCTTGTTCATATCTATCTGTCGGTTGATATTTCAATTAGATGTCTGGGCGGAAAGCCAGAATGGCGGATTTACAGAAAACTATGGATATACATATGTAAAATTGTATGTATGGCCACTGGGTGGCCGTTATATAAATTAATAGTAACCAGGTAATGATGAAATTTAATTTCGTTATCTCTATCGTTGCAAAATGTCCCCGTCTCTCTGAAATTCCCAGTAAAACAGGGACTAATTAATGCCCCCCCAAAACCTAACGACATCATAATCCAATCGCGTTGTCAGAACGGAATCAAATTGACGTTTGTAAGCGGATTATAGCCAATCAAAATACCATTGTCCCAAATTCCCATTAACATTTAATAGTGAAATTATTTTTTAACGCAATAAGCCAAACCAAAATACAGATTACATTATACAAGATTACATAATGAAAATAGAGAAAAAAAAGGGGAGGAAAATTGGAATACAGAAATGTACACATGAAAAGAGATCGTTTATTCGTCATTGAAAAAATTCCATGCAAAGAGATTTATTTGTGTATTATATATTATATTTTTTTTTAACTTATTTTCAGACAATTTCTCGTGTCCTTTATAATTTAATTAGAATTGGAGTGTTGCCTTACAATTGTCGCCATTGATTTGGCTAAAAAATTTATACCACTAAAATATCACATTGGATGAAACGGAAGAAACAAGAGGAAAACAGAAACTTATACGTTGAAACGACTAAAACCATTTTATATATCGTACAACCTTACCACGTACTTTTAATTATCCTAGACAATCTACAATTGGAAAAAATTCAGACACATCAAAATACACGTACGAAAACATTATTATTAGTATTAATTTTAGTTGATTTTTTCTCTTAATTATAATATTATATAATATATATGGAGTGTGTATATATATATATATATGTATATAGAAATATTCAAGTATTAGAAATATACTAAACTCTGAAGACATAGAATAAAAATATGATATTAAATTTGGTGATTTTGCGATGGATTCGCGTTTGATTGTCATAACAAATTATTTATAAACTAGATTGTTGTAATCTTCAGAAGAATTGATTGTTTCTTTCTTTGCAATATTTATATAAATTAAAAGTAGTGTTTTACAATTAAGAAGAAACACGCAATAAAATTATTCGAGAGAACAAATCAAGCGATTCGATGAAGATCATAAATCCACACACTTGCAATTAGATTATGTTATTATTATTGTTGTATTAAGGGAATGTGATTTATTTGCAAGAAGTTAAAAAAGTGTGTGTGTGTGTTTGAGAGTTTTTGAATTATCAATTAGTATCATAATTAATATTAGTTTTTAAAATAGCAAAAGGAAAGTGTTATTGCTTTATCTTCTTTACTTACATCTTCTAGATTGTTTTGTTATGTATATAATATTCATAATTATTTTCTTGTAAGTAATTAAAATGTATATAATCACTCTATAAAGTTTCGGACAAGGTTCCACCTTCCTTCCTGGCTTTACCAATCTCTTAGTGTTTGATTTAGTTAAATGTATAATAGATTTGTGTAGTTTTGGACCCGGCCATTTATACGAATTTGAAAATGATAATAAAATTAGTGAGAGAGATAATGTTATAGCTCTCTATTGCTGCAGCTGATGTTGGTCATATCTTTAGGAGCGTCGTGGCTCCAGCTTTTGCGACATGTTCGTTAAAACCCTTTGGTTGTCGATGGCTCGAAGGCAAGAGATGTAGGATTTGACTTCGCCCTCGCTTTTCGGTGATGGCGGATCCAGCACTGATGTTAAAGAGATTGTTTTAAATAATTAATTATTTTATTTTGTAACGATTTTACCTAGATGTCGGCTTCGGCAGAACCTTATGGTGCGCATTGTTTGCGCTAGCATGTGCATCTTCTCGAAGTTTACGAGTCCATCCAAGCATGTCTTGTTGCCTTCGTGCGTGAAGGTCATGTCTTTGAGAAGAAGAGGCATGAAGGGAACGACAGGAGGTTGAAGCTTTCCAACGCTGAGGCGGTAAGCGCGGTGGTTCCTGCTCGGATCAATGAGCGATTCGAATTCGGTGAAGAGTTTCCTGAATTTCGAAGGTAACTTCTCCCAAGTCATGGAAAGTCTGGACACGGCAACGTTGCTTAATCCCATCACGATGGCGCAGAACGCGTTCAAATTCTGGAATTCTCTGCAGCTGGAAGATGCAAGAAGTTTGTAGAAACGAATTTCGTTCGGTTTAGGTTAGTTTCGTACTACGCTGCTAGTTTGATGAATTTCCTGAGGATCGCGACGCGCTTGCTGAGACTCAAGGAAAAGCAAATCTCGGTGACGACCCAATACTGGATTTCGTTGAACCTCCTGACGAAGACGTCCAGGTTGGCGGTGATTTGGCCGAAGTGATGTCGCCCGAACGTGTGGTAAACTAACTCGTATTCATGCACGCACCAGAACAATTCCCAATCGAACAGAGTCATGAAGTAGGCTAACTCTTTGGTGCTGAATAGCTCAATATCGGCGTCGATTCCTTGGGTTGCCTCCTCCTGCTCACCCAGCGCCGTCTATCAAAAAAGCTTTTAATAATTAAACTCTTCAGATTCAAAACATACCAAAGCGTCCAGATGATCTTTAGGCGACACAAAGATCCTCCCGTTAAGAGTCAGACCCGTCGGAACGCTGATGTCGTTGTCTTTGAACACCACCCGTTCTCCGTTCGACTTGACCTCCACCAGAAGAAGTTCTTCGGTGGCTCTCAGCTTCAATTTATCCGCAGCGAACAATTTGATGGTCTCCGCGGTGCTATCCACCGGTAACCGTAACGTGCAATACGTGTGATCAGCACAGTAAACCCTGAAAATTACTAAAGAAAGAAAAAATCAATTAAAGCGCAACATTATAATAAATCAAAATATTACTATCATCCTGAGCCTTAATCATCGTCCTGAGATTGTCCTCGTTTCCGCTGAACAAACTGATCGGTTGTCCCAAAGGCGGAAGCTTCCATTTCTGATTTTCATGCGCCTTTTGATCTTCCTGATGCCTACAAACGAAATGACACGCACAAGGATATTATATTAAATTCTTTCATAATTAATTTACCTCCTCAGTTGCGTCATGACGTGGTGCATCATTGAAGCGTCCTCCTGCAGCTCTTCCAGCTGCACGCAATCCGCCTCAACCTCACTTGCCAGATCCTCCAGAAACTCCATCGCCGATTCCTCCTCGAAAACAGGATACCTTATGGTCACTACCCAGCGGTATATGAATTGGACCACGCGTTTCTTGCACGCCAAGACAAATTCTCTATCTTGATTCGGCGACTCCAAATGATAAGTAATCTGTGTTAAGGAATAATTTCTATCTACTTATAACATCTAATTAAATGTTGCTGTTTTAAAAGGATATTGTCTATCCAATTCGTCGACTAATTGGTGCGTAGGCATGAAAACAATATGCGTCAGTAGGAAATCTTCCAAGAACGGATCTTGTCCACCGCTTTGTCCTCCCAAGCTGTTTCTGGAATCCAAGCGCGTTTCCAGGAGATGCTCAAGCATCTTTTGTGGAGTTCCAGCCATCACCGTGTACCTAAATATAATCATATAATTATTATATTAAATCCAATTAGTCCAACATACTTGAAATTCGAGTAAGCTGTCTTCTGTTGCGGCGATATCTTTTCGAGGACAAGCACATCCTTTCCGTGTTCCTTAAGACGAACGGTGTTTGCCTCGACGTCACGTAAGATCCTGTTGAAATTTTCTTTATCCACCCGCAAGAATTGACAATTGTTCTCTCTCAGAACAATCGTTGCAGCTCTGATAATGAAATTCATGTATTTCTCATTATTAATCAAATAACATTCATGTTACCTTGGAGCGTCGTTGATGAGTGCCAGTTTTCCGAAATCGTCGCCTTCCTGCAAGGTGTTCACGGTGCCTTTCCCATGGATGACCACATCCACGGAACCTCTAAGTATTATGTACCAAGACCTACCTTCGTCACCCTGGTGGAACACTTTTTTTTTAAGAAGAAAATGTTAATTATAAACAAGAGGATTAGATGAAGGAATGTGAAATATTTACAAACGTGGCTGGCTTTCGGATGTGCTTCGAAGATGAGCACCGCTGCCAACTCTCGTTTAACCGAGTTGGTAAGGTGAGCGAGAGCGCGGATGTGCAGAAGCTCCTCGTAGATGGTCTCTAGGTCATCCGGTGTACGATCGTGACTTCTGCAATTATCAATAAAAATGTAATATATTACTGATATTTGCTTATAAAAAAAATAACTTTATAACTTTCATCACAAATATTTCAGCATGGTTTAATAGTACTTAAAACTGGGAACCTAAGCTACAAAAATAATCGATTTCCGAAATGAAATTTCCATTCGACAAAATGTATTGATAAACCATAGCTTCACAGAAAAATATTTCAAATATTTAAGTAATAGCTACTTTTATATATATTATTACCATCTTTTTTCTACTATATTTGAAATGCTATATTATACTATCTTTTAATTTGACGATTTTGATGTGTTTCGAACTCACTGTTTTTTTTAATTGAGATGGTAGAATTGCTCGCGCGGCATTTTTATTTTTATTAGAAAGGATGCTGTTTTGTAGAATAATAAACTACTTTTTTTTTAATTGTCCATCAAAAAAAAGAAATGACAATAAATAGAATCTTAGTTCAAATTATGTCATTATGTTTCAATATGTTCCGCAAATAGTGCAGAAAGTGATAATACAAGTTATAGAAATCATGGAGAAGGTTACAATTGGATACAAAATTTTGAAATATTGAATGTCATAAACTGGAGTCGTGTGTAAGTTGTCAAATTATTTTTGTTGGACAAATGATGAGATATTAATATTGTAGTAATTACGATTTTCGAAGGATCATTCGCATGATGGCATCAGGACCACGATTGAATAAAGTGGTGATCGACTCAAGGATCTGATCTTCGGCACCGGCGACATCCTCGAGTGTTGGAAGGGCTGTGGCGCCTTCTTCGTCCTGCCAGAAGCGGTAGAGGAAGCATTTATCTTTGAACGGTTGCTCCCTGGCGACTGAATTATGGAAATTGGTAAAACGGTTATTTTACTATTACATTGAATTACCATGAGCTATGACTCCTTCCTCGAGCAAAGCTTGCCACATCCCAGCAGCCTGCGCTCTTGTATGTATACCAGGTGATAACGATAGCAACCAATCTACCAATTCCGTTCCCGGAGCGCATCTCCTCACCAACCTCCCAGAAACCTTCCTATCCTTCAGGCAAGTATTTTGACCTAAAACCCGAATTGCTGCATATAAAATAGTCGGTAACACATTAGGCTTTTACTTAGTAAAAGTGTGCGCAAAGCCCATCCGATGCGACTCATTGTGGCGCCTGGAGTCTCGGTGATGGGTTCCGCTGGATTAGGTTGGTCCGGAGACATGGACCTCCTCGGCGGTGGCGATAATGGTTGAGCATTCTTAGAGCTGACGCCGGATCCAAAACCTACGTTAAAATTGCAATGTTAATATTGCAAATCAGAAAAAAAAGTAAATCATTGTTTTATTATCCACCTAGGAGCTTATCCGCACGAATCGACCAACAGAATCTGCAGAAAAACGCGCCCATTTGTGCTCAGATACATAACACAAACAATGCCGATACAGAAACACGCGCGCGCGTTTAACGCAAACAGAAGAGGTCTTCCACATGGACAAATGGAACGATTCCTAATCGATAAAAGCCGCAAAACGCCGTTAACACGAACCCGTGGTACACACACACACTCGTTTATTTCATTTCGCTCTTCGTCCCCTTTTTCCTTTCCATCTGAACAGCGACAATTTAATTTCGAACAACGCAACGAATGGAGGTAGACAACATAAAAATGGAGCACAATACGTTTGTTACGAACGAGAATTGCGGCAGGCGACAAGCCATCCGAAATATCTGAATACATTACCATATCGTATTCCGATAACGACCGAAAACACTTACTATTATCGGCTGTTTATGGTGCACGTTCGTTCAATTTGCTACTACGATTCGTTAATAAATCTACCTTGAAACACTAAAAGTGCGTATAGTTGCTCTGAGCGCATTAGGAAATCGTCGTCCGTCTACGAAATTTGATTGTGGGTTACAATGTCACGCCTCGGGTTGTTCCCAACCCCAATAATACTTGAAACTTTACGAAGTGTATGGAAACACCAAAAACTTGTAACTAACTTTCCATGTTCAGAGTGCGGCGCGATCCTTTTGTTAGTATAATCTATCAACCATGCAGAATGTTTGAAATCGTTTGATATATGATCAATGTTCAGTGGATACGTAACATAGAAATACATTGTTTGTTCATGTTTCGAGCGTAGTGGAAACTTCAATTCATGCATGTTCAGTGCAGATTATATATCCACTTAGTATTGATTAATGAAAAATATTTGAACATATAATATTATATACAAACATTTTTTTTTTACTTTACCTTCAAAGCACCATAATTTAATATTTATTTATGATTACGTTATGCGGTACATCAAAGAGACATTGGGTTTTGCGAATTTTATGCATTTTGAATAAAGATATATTGTATTTACATGCAACAGATTTACATTAAATATTTGTAAACCTATTATAAATTGATAATTAAGGACATAAAATCAAACAAAATGTTTGTAAATATTTTTGTTCATTTGAAATGTGATAAATATTTACGTATTTAGTGAACGTACACAATATATAATTATAATTTTACGATTTGATGAATGTATCAAATATACTTTATAGGAAATTAAGTGAAAGACAAACAATGTTTGTGAATGAAGTATGGATCAACACAAAATCTAATTAAGAAGATTATGATAAAATATACGCATTATCATATATTTCATTAGTTTATATGGGTAAAATTGTTTCACTATACGAGTAAAAATCCGGATATTTTTGAAACGTATTATGCTTTTTAAGCGAGGTTCCACTGTATATGAAAATTTATTTCAATATACTTTCAAACACAAAATTGTTATTAAGTTGAATGGTATTCCGAAAAGAAACATTTTTTTTAGATTTTGTATTAATCTTAATATAAAGATTGTAGAACATTTTTATTAGGTTTTGTAATTAATGATATACGAGTAAACCTCTTTATATTTGGGCAATTTTTCTCAATTATAAACTTGTAAAAGCAAATTTGAATTTAAAAAAGAACATGAAAACAAACATTGTAAACAAATGTTTTTCATTGTTTGTCAATGCTCCAAGCATATATAAACTTTATCTTGAGTAGGAAAATTTATATTTTCGATATTAATTAAATAAAAAAAGACATGACAGTCTGACTCAACGATTTCTATGATTTTATCAACATTTGCGAAGATTGGTTGCCATATTATCAGAACCAATGCTTTGATGTTGCATTTGATATTGTATAAACAACACAATTTTTTTTGGCCACCTGCTCCGCTTTTCCCATAGGTCGTACTGAAAATTATATCGAATTTTCTCTTTTTTTACCACCATTTTGGTATAGATGCAACGTATACATCATGAGATATGGCTCATTAAAGCCATCTAACGAAAAACGCTCAAAACTTTTTACTTCGCCCAATACTTCTTGATGTTACAAACCTACTTTACATTAAATCTATGTTGATCGGAAAGGAATCAACACATTATAGATTAACTATAAAAATATGATGAACATATGATTTGTAAATATGAACAATATTTATTTATTTGTTCAATGTTGGACTATTTCCGTATTACGAATTTATTAAAAATTAAACCGATCGAATTAGACCACAAATTGAGCGAGGCGGCGATTTGCGTTTTGTATTATTGCAGTTTAGCGTTAACAACAAAAAAAATATACATGCGAAATTGCGGAATGCGCATTGCGCAGGGATTTCATTAAAGGGCCGGTCGTGTATCGCCTAATTAATACCCATTTGTAAATAGCAGCACAGACAGATAATATGATTGGACGGGCGTCGATAATCCGACGGTACACAGCAACGGGAATCCGATTTGCACTCGGCGTCGCGACGCAAAAATAAAATTACCTATTGCACAATGAAACCCGAACGAAACGATCGGTTTATTTTCGTTCAACAAGGGCCGTCAATTTCATCTACATTTTTATTTCTCCCCCGAATGCTAATTTGATCGAAGATGCATCGAGAATTGGATGTAAAGCAAATCCGTTTGACAACAAGTGTCAAGGATTATTATGACAGGTGACAATCGCAGCAGGTTAGGAATCAAAATCGCGTACCTGAACGTTTACAAAACAAAATCGATTTCCGTTTTTTAATGAACAAAATACAGGTTGATTATTGTCCTTAATCGAATTCTGGCCGGAGGGATGCGAATTCCAGTCCAGGTTTAAGGCTATTATAATAATGGTGGGAATTAAGGGAGATGCGGAATAAGTACGTCCGTCGGGAACGAGATGCTTACCGTTCTTCAGTTTGCAGTTGGATACGAGCTCGTTCATAAGGTCCTTGTTTTTCTGCAAAAAACCGCAACAGAACATATTACAAGGAAACACTAACTTACTTGTTACGACGATTAAAGTCGGCACTAATTAGTATTTTATTTCCTGTTGTTATGATTTTGTTTTCGTTGGCATGGATAGTAAATTGTTTTTAGCGTTCGGAGTGGGAGGATTTTCTATTTGGCGACAGCATCGATTTTCAATTACTGACGTTTCACGCACAGCGCGAATATTTGCATTCTCATTTTGCGCCAATTCGAAGTTTGTTAACGGTTAGAACATTCGTGCAATGGTAGAAAATTGAAATTATGTTAATTTCAGAAATCCATTTCACGGATAAAATTTTCCTGCGAAAATCGAGATACACACTTTACGACACAAAGCATTTCGATGGTATACTCATCATAAGTTCCTTAAAATGCCTAGAAATACCATGATTTACATATTTTTAGGCCAAAAACGTATTACAACTACAATTGTACAAATATACATGATTGAAAATTTACTTCATATTTCAATACTGAAACCGAACAATTTGCCTGAAAATCTGCTAGTAAATCATAAAAAAAACATACAGACTTTAAAAATTCAATAGATCAGCGGTTCTCATTTTATGAATCGCTGCTCAAAATTGAGTAGTTTTATATTTTTAATAAGTCGCGAAATGACAGCTGACGCCATGTGTCAAAACTAGGAATTGGTGAAAAATGTTAGCAATTGGGCCGCAGTATAACTACAAATAAATATGTTGGTAGGTTACTCTATACCATAGTTCTGAAATCTTATGAGACGGAAGAGTAAAATCTGCTCACAACTATTTAAAAATTATAACAGAGACGAAAATATAGTTTTCTAACAAACTTTTGAGACGAATGAACCAAGCTTGTCCCTTCTCACAAGAATGGTAGTCGTATATGTGGCAAGCCACAGTTTTCCGACACCTGTTCAAGATCTTGTATATAGATAACATTAATCATACACTGACGAACCAATACAGAATCATACTGTTGAAATTCCCATCCTTATTTATTATCCTTAATGACAGATCATGTATTAAAAATAAAAAATATTTCATCTTAAAACTAGTATTAAATGCCATCAAAGAGAGACAATTATTGATCAACATTGAATCTAGAAATTACATAACAGTGAGTAAAGAAGTATTGAAAAAAGTATTGAAACAAGAGAAAAATGATTGAATTAATCTTTAATAGTAAAATATTACTTTATTGAAACATAAATTAACTGATATGTATTGTCATAAACGAAGCGTTACAATTTAAATTTGCCGCTATTTTTATTTAAATGACGTTATGTCAGTTTTTATTTGATATTCCTATAGTGTAGATTATCTAATTATATCATGGCATATTTAATACATCAAAATCAAGATATCTGTTGTGCTCAAACATAAATAGAAAAGCATTTTTGACAATAAAAATTGCATTTTTTAATTTTCTTGAAGAATATTTGTTATAATTGTAAGATATATTATTTGTTTGATGAATATCATTTTCTTTTATGTCTCGTAAGTAAAATATTTATAAACGTTTTCCAATTTTTGGGAGTAATAAGTAATAAAATGATGAATATAAACGTCTCAAAATCAAAATATTTGAATAAATGTCAACAGATTGTGAGTAAAATATTTTGAATATTATGCGCACTCGTGTATAATGCGTATACTTACTTTAGCGGAAAAGATCCAGATAAAATAAAAATTCGTATATTGTAGGCACCTATAATTTTTCAAGATTTTATTTTAAATGACTTTGGATTGGATTAATGGATGACATCTGATAAAAAACAGAATGTCAAACATATTAACAAAACTTTAAAGTTTCAATAATCTAAACAAATAATATCAAATATAAATTATGATCATTGTCAAATTTTTTAACATTGAAAATGACGTTCTTTTTTAGTAGAAGCAAAAAATTATAATGGTTTCTTAAATATTCTTGACAACAGCTCAACAAGCAATCAACTGAAGTGATTGAAGCTATTAGATGTACCTTTTAAAATTTCATTAAGGAAAGTTTTCAATTATGCTGTGATTAGATTGTTAAAGTTTAATTACCTCCCAGATCAGTTTAAAATCGGGCTGTTCGACCCGCAGCAATTCGCAGGTGGTTTGCGTCACGACGGTAGTGTCTCTGGGAAGATCCTGCAGGATCGACTCGCCGAAGGTAGCGCCCACGTTCAGCGTGCACAGCGTCACCGGAATCTGAAAAAATAGAAAAGAAAAGCAATTGAGTCCTGCAAAGGCCGGAAGGATGCCGTTGCCGACGGCAATCAACAAACGTTTGTTTATTAATTGGTCCGATCGATCCTTGCTTAGGTTGTAACCGGAATTTTGTCGCAGCAAGAACCGCAAACTGAGCGGAAACGTTAAACTCTTGCCAATGCAACCTCGCTCCTTCCCCTTTGAATTCACGTCGACTTACAAGCAACGCGTGTGTGTGTTTCGTAACTCCCCGCATACATTCCTTTTGTCATATGACCCAGTTCGCTAACATAGAGAAACCGAACCGTTTCGAAGATAAGAAGAATTGACTTTTTTAGAGTTGACGAAGCGGAAGGAAATGGTAGGGCAAGTGAACTGGAAGGAAATCCAAAGGGCCGCAACTCGAGTGTGTGTGTGAGTGCGTTTGAAAAGTCGAAGAAATGAAGGGAGAAAAGTAAAAAAACAATGGGGTGCGAGAACAGGGTCCAATTAAAAGGGCCGTCGATGAAACTCATTCTGGTATGTTTCGAAAACAAAATGAGGGCAACCAGAAATGGGACGGAATGGAATTAGCAGCGGCAATGTATTTACGTGTGCTTAAAGTGCAGCCAGGACGAAATGGGTCGGCATAAAAGCGAGAAAATTGGGCTTGAATTACGTTCATCCGCCGTCGCCGCCATCAAAGGGAGATGGAGAGTGCGGAAGAGAAGGCAAAGAGAGAAGACGGAGAGATGATGAGAGGGAGACAGAGAGATGGATGGGCGCAACAACTTGACGAACGTAGCGTTAATTCGCACAGAAGTAATTACGACATAAAAATGAAATGTCGTCGTAAAGCAGACCCAAGCAAAGGAAAAAATAAGATTGATGATGTCGTTACAAGAAGAGAAGAAGGCGTATTTAACGAAGTCAGGCAACATAAGCAACTCCGAAAGTGCCATATTAATGATCGTAATATTCACAATTGATCTGCACGTTTAGGTTACGAGATTAACACTCAGCATTTATAACTCAATTACAATTATTCAACACAATGATTCCAAGAAGTGATGAAACAAATCGTTAAATTAGTTTACAAACTGATTTCAACTATAAATAAATTAGTTGCAAATTGACCTAATATGTTTTTTAAATAACTGAGTCGAATTTTAGATTTTCTTAATGCATAATAAAACTGATCGAAAACCGATCAGGAGATTTATTTTCTACATAAGATTTATTATATTAATTTATAATTCGTTTATATAGCATTATTGCTTAAAATCTAATATTATGATATTTATTGTAATGGTTTTAGCCAAATAGATACTTTTTACATTTATTTTACAATTTGTTACTATTTTGAGTTCCTCTGCTGCAGTTCTTCGTTGTCCCAGGGGCTGGTATTGCGTGTGAGCAATGTTTAGTTGTTTGTTTTGTAGTGTTCGTACATTTTTCTTTCAAACTTTTCTTCTGTCCACCTCTTTTTTACATTATCTGTCAATTTATTATCCTCATGGATATCTCTCAGCAAGTTGCTGCTGCTGAGGACATTTGTTTTTATAAATCAAATCTCATGTTATTATTTATAAATTAGGAATTTCAAAATATTCCATAAGTTTTAATAATCTTAGCATAAGTTTATAGTTTTTAGTAATATTTATTTAATCTATATAAAAGTGATAAACCATTCTACATAATTGTTATTTGTAATAAATATTGTTAATTATATGTTTATTATAAATGTTTATAAAAAAAACCATTAGATTCCACTTATTAAGCGTATTTTTGTTTGCGATCCAAAATGTTGTTCGGAAACTGAATTATTCCTTTTAGAACCTAACACCGTTGGACTTATATTTATTTTAAGCAATTATTAAGCGAAATTACGAAATTTATAGTTTGATTAAAATGGACCGACGTTTTCAATTTTAGTTTTTTGTTCGAATACTGAATTGTATTCAATGTTAGTATTTTGATCGGAAATCGAATTATTCCTTTCAGGAAAGAAAACCACTGTACTTATATTAATTATTTTAAGTAAATAATAATAGAATTTAGAAAATTATCACACAAAACCGTTTTTATAGTTTGATTAAAATGGACCGACTTTTTCAATTTTGGTCTTTTATTCGAAAACCGAATTATTTCTTTTGTGAACCGAAAACCATTGTATTTATATTTATTTTAAGTAAATATTAAGAGAATTTACATAATCATCGTACAGACATTTTTATAGTTTGATTAATACGGACCCACACTTACAAATAGTGGGTCATTTTCAAAGACATTTTCAATTTTAGTGTTTTGTTCCAAAAAATTTATTATTTTCAGTTTTTTTCTTCTTTAGAAATAGAAATATTTCTTTTGAGGATCGAAAATAATCAAAAATCGAAAAAATTTAAATATTAATAGAATTTCCGAAATTTCCAAAATTTACGTACAAGCGTGCTTTTATGGTTTTATCCATTTAAAATGGACTGGCTCTGCAAAATGCTGATAACAAAGATATTTTAGTTTGACAACTAAAAATAACTTTATTTAACAAATTATTGTGCTTTAGTCGATTGCTCAATAAGATATTTTTTTTGGATTACAATTGATTTGATATGATAGTCTTTTGCAAGAAAAGTACAGACCATTACGTGATCACAAACAGTTCGGGATTCTAGGAAATTCGCTTTGATATAAGAGTGCTTTGGTACATAATCTATATGATGACTGCTGCAATTGATCTCTGGTTATTATGTTATTTCTTTGAGCTTTAGTAAAATATCCTGTATAGGCGTATGGAAGATTAATCTGTTGCTTGTAAAACATCAGTAATGCCCTCAGCTCTGTCAAAAAATCGATGTATTATGTATATTTTAATATTTCAATAAAAAAAATCGTTTTCCTATTTTATTCTCAAACTTTCTTCTAAATAAAACGATTCATTGAAAAAGTATTTCTTTAGAAAAAGAAGTTATACTTTCGTAAATATGTTATAAAATTTTCACTTTTCTGATTAAATAATTCAAATGTCATTAAATATGATCCTGCATTAATAATGATCCTTCTTTGAAATCCTTTGAGTATGAATTATAGCCATGATTAAATGTATATATTAAAATATATTTAATCATGTGTATATAATGTTGAAGTAGCTCTTTTGCAAATAACAGGATATCTCCATTAATCGCTTTAATAAAGGTATTCACTTCGTGCGGATGTTGTACACGTTCATTTGCATTCCGAATTACTTACACGTATGTAATTCAATTAACTGCGCAATGTGTTTTCCTCTCTCACCCTGTGAGTATATCCTTAAGATGCATTTACCATGAAATAAGCAACTCAGAAAGTTCCATTAATAATCGTCCTATTCACAATTCACTTAACATATATACGCCGCATTTACAATTGAATTTGCTCTGTATTCTTTAACGTTGTTTATTTTCTGAGAAAAATAAGGATATTATTGTTTTCTATATGGCTTTTCAAGGAGTCTTTATGTATTATTCTCGATTTTTTTAAGTTTTATTTCGTGAGAAAAAGAAAATTTTATGGAAAGTTGAAATTCAAAAAACGATTTTTTTAAGTCGGTTTTTTGTATTAACTCTAATTGTGATGTAAAATTTACAACATTTATATCATTAAATATTTTTCGAGTATTATTAAATATCTTTCGAGTAGCATTATTATAGCGATGAAATAAGGTTACATTGAACGAAGACAAAGTATCACATTACTATTCCATTACCCATTTATTTTCCACTGATCTGCATGAAATACGATTCTATTCCAATTTAATTTCTTACCATAATAACAACGCTTCATTCTTGAATATCATAACGGTTCGAGTTGTATAGCATGCATAGCAACGAAGTAAGGAAAAGTAAAGCTGCGAAGCCTTCAATTAAATGTACAATTTATTTTCCTCTTCCCATGTCAGTACATCTTCAGATCGATGTTACTTGTTTCCTCGAAAAGCCGCGGGGGATCTTCAGAATCGATTACATCATATTTACCATCCACTGCAATCTTCTGCCCGGAGACCGCCCGAAGTGGATCTTAAGGAACTTCCGATTTACAATCCGCACACCAAAAAAATATATACGAGATAAATAAAATAAAAATCGCCACGTCTCAAGGGTACATTTTTTTAGATCACATTTCTGCTACAGGAACGTTTTTATAGTCCGATTAAAATGGACCGATACTACTTAAATGTAGAATATTTATTTGTAAATTTTGAATTACAATATATTATATTTTGTTACATCTTGGAATATTATGTTTAATTTTTAATAATATCGTGTTAAACATTCTAAAAATTAAGCTAATTGATAAAAAATTTAATAAGCTAATCTAGTCAATGTTCAGAAAAATGTGAAATAGGTATTTCTATATATAAGTGTAATAACTTAATTAATGATAAGAAAAAATAAGGAATGTTATAACATTATTTTGACACTTACATATGCCTGTTAGTTTATATGACAGTTGCTGATGTCTGTTGACATTGATCCTAAATTGACACTTGACAATGATAATGTATGTTATGACATTATTATGACACGTACATATGTCAAATTATGTTAGTTTATATGACAGTTGCCTTCTGACACTAATCCTAAATTGACAGCTCAAACTGTCTATGTTGACATGTGTATTTGGCAGTAGCTGGTGCACTTGATAATAATAATGTAAGTTATGACATTATTATCACACGTACATATGTCAAATTCTGTTAGTTTAATGACATATGTATTTGGTAGTAGTTGATATACTGTTATGGCACCTACATATGTCAAATTTTGTTAGTTTATATAGCAGCTGCTGCACAGAAGTTTTTATAACTCGATTAAAGTGGACCGATATTCGTAAATGATACCACAAAAGAAATTTTGAATATAGGAAATGAACTTGCTAAAAATATAAAATAAACATTCAGTACATTAACGGATCCATAAACGATGCGAATATTCATGCAGTTTGTTAATAATGGATTTAGTCGATTAAAATGTTTTTGAAAACTT